CAACTAACACCCGAATTAAAACTTGACTAGAGACTTTTTAGAATACATTATTCTAAGGTTATTATTATGTTTAGACATTACACAAAATAATACAAAAACATAATAATTGAGCAATGTCTTTCATTACTTAATACCATGACACATGTCCAAATAGAGTCATCCAATGATTTGCTTTTGGACATATACACTAACATTGTGGTGGTACCTTATTGGATATACAGAGCTACTAGCCAATGGTGGTACTCTATTGAGTCGTATATGGGGCTAGGTATTACGGTGATGCTCATTGGATCCATATAAGAAGACCAGTGACTTTTGTGGTAAAACTCGTCTAGAGGAAATCTTGGGTACCCTCGGGGCTTGTGATGGTACTAATTGGAGTTGTATATGGAGCTTGGATCTTGCGGTGGTACTTAAAAGGGTCGTATACAGAGCCCAATAACCTTGGGTAAAACTCAGTATTATTGATGAATGGCTTACTTTGTGTTTTGAAACGATCGATGAAAACATGTCTCCCCCGTCACCGAAATGTGTTGTTTTAGGTGTAGAGTATTATCCATGTTTTTGGTGACATTTTGAGTATGGATTTCTATCCATGATTTGTGGTTTTGGGTATTGAACCTATCCATGTTTTTGGGTGTTTTGGATAATAGAGTTTTATTAACAATCTGTCCATAATCTTGACTTTGTAGGTTTGGATTATTATTGGTTAATGTTAAATCCTAGATTTCCATTATAGGTAATCGAGTGTTGACATTTATAATAGATTTTATTCTTTATTTAAAGTTCTTTTGTCAAAAAAAATTGAAATAGTCGCTCTTTCCAGATTTGATGGTGTAACAAGAAATTATGGTGTGGACTATTAGAATTGGCCATTGACCAACATAATATAATTTCTAGTGAATGAGCTTAGCTAGGGTCCTTAAAGATCTCAAGCTATAGATCGTGTCTAACACCCGTATTTTTATAATTAAGTTGAATATAGAATTTGGGTGATTTATCGTAAGATTTCATCAATATTTATGAGTATTTGGTGTTTCAATGTCCTTATTTAGCCTTGGTATGTTCTGGTATGAATCTACACAAGAGAAAACAAGAAAGACAACATATTAGGTGAAAAACAGTGCTCAGCACAGGCTGGTATGCAACTTAGGCCATAACACAAGCAGCGTGTGTAACAGCCCAAACTCCACATTTGCATATAACACATAATTCATTTCAAAGAAATATAGTTTACAACACATAGATCCCACTAGTACAACGATTCAATATGTACAAAATTTACAAATGAAAATTTCCAAAATAAAAATCCATGCACTAACACATGTATATCAACATATATCTTCAAGATATGCAATCATCAAGTTGATCTTCATAAGCAGATAATATATAGGAAAATAATTACATTTTCCCTTTCCCCTTATTATCCTGCAACCCCGCAGATCCTGCAATGCACATTTTTGAAACACAAAATAAGGGTTAGACCAGAATGTCTAGTGAGTAAATCTCTTCTTTGCAAATGCAGGGTGATGAACACCAAAATCTGATAAAATATCTTTTACACAGAAGTAATTGTATTTTAGCAAAAGAATGTAATTTGATTGGATAATCAAAATATAAGCCATCAAATTACTACATCATATAACCCAAATGCACCTCTTTAAAACCCGGAGTTCAATATAGAACTCTAACTCAACGGGTCAGAACTCCTCTGCCTTTACCAACCAGAGCCTCTGGTTCTATTGACCAGAACCTTTGTATCTAAGTGATACAATACTCAACCAGATATCTTCAGGTTTATTAGTGACTCTAATTCAAAGAATCTTCCACAATTTTAAAAGATGTATAAAATAGAATTAGAGCTCCTCTGACTCTTAAATTTTGTTTATAAATATTTTTGAAGAAAAAGATAAATTTAAAGAATAAAACTATGATACAGAGCTTCTGTATGAAACATACTGAGCTTCTGGCTTATAAAATTCCCAAAGTATTCAAAGTTTTTTCACATAATCCAGAGGTCCTCTGGTCCTTTATAAAACCAACCAGAGCCCCTCTGTATGTATTAAAAGTTGATAGAAAACTTAGGCAGCCTCTGATCACAAACCATTTTCCCTTTCTCAATAACATCTAATTATTATTTCTGAAAAGAACAATCTCTAATTCATCAAGTCACAAAGAAATGTTGATTTAGAGTTATTGTATCTAATTAGTGATAATAACAAGAGCTATAATAATATCCACATCTGACATTGTCACCCTTATTCCATAGTACACCTCTCCTTGATATGTCACCCTTATTCCTTCTTTAAAACAGGGTTACGTGCCAGAACAGACAAAAGTCACCACGTCTGGAAGTACCCATCACCCAGTTTCAAGTCAGAATAGACAAATGTCACCACGTCTGAGGGAACTACCTCTTAAAACAAGTTTCATTCCAGAACAGACAAAAGTCACCACGTTTGGAAGAAACATTTCTCAAAATACAGTTTCATACCAAAACAGACTTACGTCACCATGCTTGGTAGAAACGTTTCCCAAAATATAGTTTCATACCAAAACAGACTTACGTCACCACGTTTGGTAGAAANTATAGTTTCATACCAAAACAGACTTACGTCACCACGTTTGGTAGAAATATTTCCCAAAATATAGTTTCATACCAAAACAGACTTACGTCACCACGCTTGATAGAAACATTATTTTTTTTCACTTTAAAAAGATATAAAATACCCTTTTTCACAATAACAAATTTAAACCCAAACAAAATTTATTTGTGAAGAATTCCAATATTCCAAAAACAACCATTAACCTTGTACAGACAGTTTGTGTGCGGACAAGCTTATCCGGCCAACATATGTCCGGACAAGACTTAACCGGACACTCTATCCGAACTACACAACATTAAAGGCAAAGGCCTATCCGAACAACAACATCCGCACGTATCCTCTCCGGACAAGTTAATCCGTCCAAAACATAATACAATCCAGTCAACATTTCAGCCGGATATACTCTTACCAAACGATAGTGTTCGGACATACATTCTCATCGGTTGATATAGTGACCGGACTTGCTTTCTCCAGACAATACAATGTCCGGACAATCATCCACCATTCTAATCCGGACGACACTATGTCCGGATACTTCTAATCCGGACGACCTATGTCCGGATACTTCTAATCCAGTCACCACAGTGTCCGGTGAAAAACATAAGTTGGACAAAGAAGATATTGAAGAACAAAATTGCCATAATTTTAGTACAAACTCATATCAAAACTGAAATCAGTAATAGAATCATATGCAAGGATGTTTTGATAACCATTCATCTTTGCAAAATTTCAGATTTTGAAGATGAGAAAAAGAAATATGAATCCGATAGATTTCTTGCTTCAGTTCCAAAATATGCAACAAAACTTACATAATTTTTCTCTCAAAATTTCTTTCCAAGAAAGGCAAGAAGACTTGCCTTTCTCCTTATAGTAATAATAATAAACGTTTAATAATATTTTTAAAAATAAATTTTTATGTATAAACTTCTAATATATATTTGTTTTCATAAACTTATAGTACATTCTTTTAGATATAATACACTTTCTCTAAATCAAAATAAGTATTTACATTATTATTTTAATTCGTTACAAAATAAATATCCATTTTTCAAAATAAAATCTACTTTTCAGATCTATCCTCAATCATGAGAATGAAACAACTTCTCTCGTTATAATTAAAGGTAAAACTGTTTTTTTAAGTATAATTTTATATATTTTTAAAACTGTATATATTTTCTTAATCCATATTTAATTTAAAATAAAAAGTTATTTAAATTAGAAGTATAGTAAGATAGTCAAATGTCACTAATGAACCGTCTTTATTTTTGATAAAATGAAATTCTGATTCTCCAAATCAGCTTTTTAAAAATACTCTTCACTTTTTTTTAGATTTGTCTTCTGCCTTTCTATCATTGTACAGTCCATTTCAACACCTCCCAATCCATGCACACACACACATATACATATATATATATATACATATAATATACATACATATATATACATATATAATATGATGCTTTCTTTAATTCTTTGCAAATAATTTTTCGTGAGAATTTGAATAAGAATAGATTCTAGATTTGTTTATGTATATCCACGACTACAGTTAAATTTATCCATTTTTAAGGATATATACGTACATATATTTATATATATATACATGTTATGTGCGAGAAAGATGATGCATATCATCTGTTTTTGAAAGGAAAACTAATAATAAATCTGATTCTAATTTTGATAACATTCACAAACATATAAATTTTTTACATTTCTAAACAGAGAAGTCAATTGTTCCTCTGCTAGAGGTGTTCCAGAAATGTCTGCAATCGAGTAAATAGATCTACGAACGGATGGACTAGATCGACTTGAAAAATAGATTAATATTACTGTCAATTTCTAAAAATCTTAAAGTCATATTTACATTCATATTTTACATAATAAATGGTCTACATCATATTGTTTCTCTATAAAATCGAGGAGTTTATAAAGAAAAAACCAGATATAATTTATATTACCCTTAATAAATGATACTGATTCAAATACACAAATTCTAGTAAATATGTAAAAGAACTTTCTTGATGAAAATGTCCGATAACTAATCATTATGAACACTTAAAACCAATTATTTAAGTTAAACTTTCTAAAAGAATCCGAAAACGTAATCTTGACCGTCGATTAAGAAACTCAACGGTCCGAGATGAAGATAACATTATTTTCATAAAGATTAATATGTGGATTTTATCCACAAGCAATCTTTAAGAATTCCCATGCCATTTTCCAAAGTAAAATTGAACCGTACAACTTTTAATGCACAAAGTACAAATCCCATCAGCATCATTATGGCAAGATTTAACAAAGCATTGCTCAGTGACCTTTCCCAAATAAATGTTCCCTGTTCCACCATTCTTTGTTACAGTATATAGGAATATTAAGAGGGGCTACAGAGATGCCAAAGTAAGCTTTTTTTCCTCTCTTTTCCCCCATCAAAAAACCCCACACGACCACACACTTGTTCTTTTTTTTCTTTTCATTTTCATTTTCATGTAAAACAACAAGCTTCGATTGATTTCATGTCTATATCGATTGAAGAACATGATTACATAGGGTTGTCAGAGGTAAATATGGAGAAAAAAGCCTGTGAAGTAGCCAATAATAATAAAGATTTGAACTTGAAAGCCACTGAATTGAGACTTGGATTACCTGGCTCGGAGTCGCCGGAAAGAGAGGCGGTTAACGGTGGTGTGATCAAGAACTTGGTGGCTGGAGCGAAAAGGGGGTTTTCTGATACCATTAATGGTGGTTCTGGGAAATGGGTGTTTTCTGTTAATGGTGGATCTGAGGTTGATTTGGTTAAGAATGGTGGTGGGTTGTTTTCTTGTTCGAAGGTTGAAAATATGAACTCTGGTTTAGGGGTTGGTTCAGTTAAAGAGAGTGCTGTTTTGGCTTCACCTAAGCCTGTTTTGCTTGAGAAGAAGGTTCAGGTTTCTGCTAATTCTTCAAATGGTCAAACTTCTGCTCCTGCTCCAAAGTAAGGATTTTTACGTCTCATTTTTTTGGATTATAAGCTTCAATTTCGAGCAGTTTTCGGATTCGAATTCGATATCGAACTGCTTACAGTTTAACTTGAAAATTGAGATGCTATTGAAGTTGGAAACTTGTTTGTTTGACTTTCAAAAGTCAGCTTTTTCTTCAAGAATCTGATCATGTAATCTTTTTTGTTCTTCTGATTCACCATGTAATTTGGCAGGAACCAGGGGTGTATGCTGCATGGTTTGATTGAGTTTCTTGGCTGATAATGATCCATGATTCCAAGAATTGCTATCTGCACGTTTGATTTTTAGAAAGTCAACTTAATACTTCTCAAACTTCATAATTAACCCAATTAATCCCAATTTCACCACTCCAAAATGCTTCATTCTTACAGAAATTCTAGATTTAATCGTAGGCATCGATAGTTTCACTCGAAACAGAACGAAATATTTGTGGACTTCAAAGTTAGTAAACAAGTTGTTTGACCCCAAAAGTCAAACATACTAACTCTGCATGGTTTTTTGGTGCTTTTTCTTTCTGATTGAATCTTTATTTGCATTCTTGGTGGAACTTTACATCAAAAACCCATTTTGATCCTGTACTGATTCTTGCATTCATCACTAAAACCCATCTTGTAATTCAGGCAACAAGTTGTAGGATGGCCTCCAATTCGATCCTTTCGTAAGAACACGATGGCTGTTAGCCACACAAAGAACGAAGAAGAAACCGATGGCAAGATGGGATCGGGCTGCCTTTATGTGAAGGTCAGCATGGATGGAGCTCCGTATTTAAGGAAAGTTGATCTCGAGATCTATTCCAGTTACTTGGATCTTTCTTCGGCTCTTGAAAAGATGTTCAGTTGCTTTACAATCGGTAATTGATCGCTCGTTGCTTCTTAAATGCATCTTTTAAGCTTTTTCGTGATCTTTTACGTTACGTTAATACGTTTGAAGAACGGTGTTTGCATCGAATTCGTATATGTTCCAAGTCCAAAAACATTTGATAGGAGAGTAAAGTTGATCTTGATGATGCAAGGAGTAATTCTTTTGGTTATCAAAAACTAGAGTAAACTACATGTTTAGCCCCTCTGATTTGTTAACGATGACTATTCTGTCTTTATATTTTTTAAATTGCGATTTTCATTCCTTTGGTTTACACTTATTGCTGTTTACGTCCATAAGATTTAAAATTCACTGTTGTTTTCGTCTCTCATACATAATGGTAAACTGCTGAGTTAGCCACAGTGATGAAAACAACAACGAGCTACAAACCATAGTTACCGGGTTGTGTTTTTGTGTCGAAATGCCCCTTACATTCTTACATAAGTGCCAATTTTTTTCTTTTTACGTCATTTTGCATTGATATCTAGTTTATCAGTTAGTTTTTATTAAACGTGACTAGTTTATCAGCTAACTTATTTGTCAACAAGTTATCAGCTATTTTATTAGTCAACAACTAGTTTTTAACAAGCGTGATTTGGTTTTTCAGGTCAATATGGTAGCCATGGAGCTCCTACGAGAGACGGATTAAGTGAGAGCCGACTGATGGATCTTCTCCATGGTTCCGAGTATGTACTGACCTACGAAGATAAAGATGGCGACTGGATGCTCGTTGGTGATGTTCCTTGGGAGTAAGTTCCATTTCTTTGATCCAAAAAACTTTGACTTTGATGGTTTTATGGGTGATCGACTTTTTGACCATCGTATTCGGTTGCAGCGTGCAAAACAACCATTAATGATGCATGTTGTAGCTCCAACATTACAGTTTCATGTTTTCTTCTTTAGCATTTGCTGAAAATCAAGATTCTCTGTATCAATTTTGAAGTAGAAAGTTAGGAAGTTTGACCGAAAAGTCAAACTGTAATATTTGATCTGACACCAGTTTTGCAAATCTTGATGAATTTTGCAGCATGTTCATTCGCTCTTGTAAGAGGATGAGGATCATGAAAAGTTCAGATGCAATTGGGCTAGGTAAGTTTTCTTTTTCTTTCTATTATTCTAACTGAAAAACAAGAACCTAACTGGTGGTATCTGATTGGTTTGAGCTTGGCTTCAAAGGTTAAAAGTACCAAGAGGTTCCAGGTTCAAATCCAAGGAGGAATAAAAATCCCCTTGTGGCCACGGAGGTTCAAATGCGGTGACTCCAGGCTATCTGCAAAGCAGGTGGTCGCCCTGAGATTAGTCGGTTCGCATAGCGGGTTGGATATCCAGGTTAATAAGAAGAAGAAAAAAAACAAGAACCCAAAATCTTGATTATTCAACTAAAATTCAAGAAACCCCATAAATCTTGATTATTCAACTAAAATTCAAGAATTGAACCCCATAAATCTTTGATCACTCAACTTGGTTTCCCGTCTAGATTTGAAACGAAAAACTCGATCTCGTTCTTGTTTGACGTCTGTTTTTGCAGCCCCTCGAGCCATGGAGAAGTGTAGGAATCGTACTTAGCATGCGATAACAAATGAAAACATGTTTGTGGAATGGAAAGATCAAGTCTCTTGGAAGAATTCTGAAGGGGTCTTGATGAAGAAAGGCCGGAAACAAAAGCTTTCATTTGGAATCCAAAGTCTTGAAAGTGTCTTATATTAATACTTGTGTTGAGTGTAACTAGAAGAGTATGCCATTTAGGCACAAGACATGTAATGCATCTATGACTCCTACAAAACACTTGCTATGTTGCTTTATTTTGCTATATCGCGAAAAGGGTAAGACTCGAATATATGTGATTATAATATCGTTACGCTAGATATCAAGAAAAAAGAGACTATATATTCACCTTCGAGACGTGTTTGGTTGTAAAACGTGAATTCGAAAAACTCACTTGGTATGTAAATCATCACTTACATTTCATTCGATCCTAATAGAGTAGTTCATAGGATATTAAGTTTACATTACCAACAACTTGACGTCCTACGTAATTGTTTTAATATGTTATTAGGATAAAGTTGGCAAATCGTTCTAAGAATTGAGCAAACCTAATAAGACAGAAAAAACAAATTGTACCAATTTTGTAGTGAAAATAGTTTGAGCCTACAATCATGTTAGGATCCAAGCGCTTACCACTACGCCAAAAGCAATTGCTGGTGGAGAAGACACAACTTATTTCCTTATAGCGTAGCAGTCAACACCATGTTTTAATTTAGGAAGATGATGGTCAATGACCCAACAAATCATCCAATCACCAGCTTAACCGGAGTAGTTCGATGAAACCTAAAATTTTACCATATATGAGCTTTGATTAATAAAATTCTTTTTATAAACTTTCAAACTGAAATCTTTACAAGTTTTTAGTAAAATCTAAATCTGGTCATCTAATTAAATCATAAAAAACGTATCAATTAAAATATGTCAAAAACTTTGAGACATAATAAGATAGATTCCAAATTAACTTGTTTGTAACCTTTTGTGCCAAAATTCTACTACTATACGTGAAACTTCATTTTCAACGTATAAATATCGAATAATTTAATCAACTGTGAATCTTGAGTCTACTAAATACAACCATAAGTATTTTACAAAATAATCAGACGAAATGAGCCTAGTATGTCCAACCTGAAGGTGGAATTTCAAAACCAACCACAAGTTGGGTCATCGACTTCTCAAGCTGAAATTCTGAAATTCAAAACCAATCACAAGTTGGGTCATCTTACTCTTCAAACCTCGAGGCCTCTTCTAGTCCCCAATTACAACTCTCTTCATAAAAGGTTAAAATCTATGGGTCTAACGAGTTGAAGATTTTATTTTTATTAACCTGGATATCCAACCCGCTATGCGAGCCGACTAATCCCAGGGCGACCACCTGCTTTGCAGATAGCCCGGAGTCATCGTATTTGAACCTCCGTGGCCACAAGGGGATTTTTATTTCTCCTTGAATTTGAACCTGTGACCTCCTGGTACTTTTGACCTTTGAAGCCAAGCTCAAACCAATCAGGCACCACCCTTGTGGTTCGAGTTCAAGATTTTTCAAGTACAAAGCTTAACAATTATGCCAATTTATAACTTCAAAAGATTTAGGGAGCATAAATTCTTTATAAAAATTCTTAGGCACGCACAAAATTACTACACTACTAAGTAGTCGTGCAAAGTAGCCATTAATGCCACACATCTAAAACAACTCAATACAATGCATGCTTGTTGATCAATAATAATGGTGACAACAAACAAAAATGTATAAAACGAAATATTGAACGAACCATCTTAGTCCCATCATACACTTACACACCATCAGTATAAATTGTTTCATGCATTAACCGTGTGCTACAAAACACAGTCACACTAAATCCAAAGAAAAATTGTGCAAATGAATCATTATCAAAATCTCCGCCTCTAAGAACATAGCATGAAATAAAAAATTCTCATACGCAACACACCTAATCAAGCAAGTTCATTAAATTCCAAAAATTCATCCTTGAGTTATAAAACATTAAAAACAAAATCCCAATAAAACTTGCAAATAACCGTAGGAGGTACAATAGTTTCATGCATTTCAAACTCGACCCCAAATTCCCGTATGCGTCAAATTATAAACCAAAACATGCAATACCTTATGCCCGTGCAAGACTCAAAGCGAATGTTGTACAACAATCGTGTTTCCTAAAATTTCTCAAAACTCGTAACAAAGTATTTGCACATCCCTTAGGTAATAAATGAAACAATTCCCGTCAGTTTCAATTTCAATTCTTCTTAGAATATGCATCTCAATAATTTTGCAATGTTAGCAAAGCAGTATGAAGAAAATTCTCAGTAAAAATATGTGTGTAATTCTTATGCAACCAAAACAGTTTAGGAATTTTCAAAACATGGGCTATGTTCTGGTGTGTGCCAAAACATTTCCTAGAATTATTAACCTGATAGGTACAAAGTTTTAACATATAAGGAATAATCCTTGCAATTCATTTTCAAAATGAATATTGTGCATGCATTTGGTCGTGACTCGAAGCTTTAAAAACACACTCGCCAAGTCTACTAGTTAAAAAACCGACATTGGAAAACTCAAGTATCTAAAGGCGATAATCCACAACTAAGTCAATTAACCTTACAAACTTTTTCCCAAAATTTATGATGATTCAATAAGCATGTTGTTCAAACTTAACCCATATTTCTGACCCACAATGGTCGGCTTAACGTAATCACCAAACTTAACTGTCACTCAAGTGACAACGCTACAACATCAAATCTTCTAACGATGATTTGCTGAGAATTCACTCACTACCTCCATCTATCATCACGGAAAAAATAATTCAAACATGCACATGTAACTGTAAATTCATAATAACACTCCCAAGTGGAAATATGAATGTACCTTACATGAGGATCCTTGCTACCATCATCATGACTCTCGATGTTAGTGTCTCTATTGACCTTAAAATATCCTATCTTAAAGTGCCTAATTGTATATTCTCATTTTCATTTGCTTAGAAAAACACTAGTTTGAGTCTAGGCATCTTAATTAATACATAAATCTCTCAAACTTATGCTTTGATACCAACTCGTAACACCATAAAATCTGGATAGAACGACTAATTTAGAAATTCCATTAAGACAACAAGTAAAAGGGGTAAATCCCTTTTCTATTAGTCAATACTTAAATTACCTCGAATATCAAATCTAAAATCAACATCAATAAATGATAGATCAAGTCTTAGATGAAGACTAAGTTAAGGTCGGGTGTTACTATAACCCGATAACTGTAGCTATCTCTAATTGCGGAAGACATCAACAAATAGCTAAGTCCTTTTCGTGCATCTATCTAGCACTCATCTCATCACGGGGTCGCTAGTACCATTTCCCATTGACCTGATGCACATGCTGGCAAAGAAAAGGTTAGGCTTAACGTCTAATGAGCTCAAGCAGTTTTTGTCATAATCATAAAAAGGTAAGACCAAAAGACTGTTGATTTAAGTTGTAATTTCGTAAATGAAATGTATTTATCGTAAAAGCAACATCTTTATGAAACCCACCATTTCCTGATGAAAACCCAATAACCAAATGCCTATTTAAATGCAACCAAAATCCAAAATGTACACAACTAAGAATAAAGTCATAAATTGTTAAAACAGAAAACATAGCTATAATCAAGTCACTTTGTATAATTACATCATATCTACCCTTGGAAGGGTGTAAGACATCATAAGATGACGGGGGATACCCGATTTGCCATTTATTGTGACGGAACACATAAGTAAGGCATAATTCAATGTTATATCAGCATCACTGTAGATAAACAAACATTGACATCGACCGCATTCGGATCTTTAGTCAAATGGGTTAACAAGCTCAACCTTATTCAAGTCTTTTGCTTAGGGAGTCATCAAGTTTCATTCCATCCAACTCTTTACCTTGGGATCTCAAAAATCCAAGTTAAACTTATTCATTAGAAATGATAGTAGAACTACACTGTCATCAAAGTCAACTCTATCCAAGTCTTTACCTTGACACCGCCAATACGGATCACGTGGTCATTCAATTCAACTCTATCAAAGTCTTTACCTCGAGTCCTCTTCTGATCCGAGTCTCTAGCTACAATACGGGGAATACTATCACATTCCAACCGACTCCTATGCCTATGGATCTATTGCATTACAATCTAAATTACATGACATCAACTGAATGATCAACACACTCGAAACATGTAATTCTCAATAAATATGCCATAACCGCATATAAAATCCAAAAGCTCAACATAGAGCAAAACAAACAAGACAAATGTCCTCAAGACTCATCTGAGTTAAACTAGGGCCAAAGGCTCAACAACACGATTAGCTATTCAATAAAAGTCATCAAAAACAATAAAACGTATTTAACTAACGTTTATGCAAATGCATGCTTCAAAGGCATGAATAACTCAAAAACACATCATTAGTTGGGACAAATCATTTTTCAATCAAATCATACCATTTATATTCCCAAAATGTCCTATAACACAATAACATACATTTTTCAAACGGTTTATAAAACCAAATACACCAAAGTGCATTTAAATCAAAAAATCTCCAGTTATACAATAAATCACCAAAGGTTCACATTCTTGAAATTTATTTATCAAAATATCCAAAAACCCAAATAATGGTATTTCACAAGATCTACTAATCCAAATTTACCAAATATGCAAACTTCATCAATTACTCACACATTTGATAAACATCAAGTAAAACACCTTAATACTTCAAAATACTCATTTTGGCATGTACATAATTTTCACAAAACAACTTGAACTCACTTTGCCAAGTTAAGTTAAACCTAGCTTCGAAAGCCCAAACTTTAGCTTCCAATGATAAAGATTTCACCATCTTCAAGTCATCTTCAACAAGTACCTAAGGTTTCTATTAAAAGTATCAATAGTTCCAATCTTGACTCGGTAACTAATTTCACTTTGAATGTCGTTTGTTTGTTATGTTCTTAACATATAAGGGTAGAAAATGTAATATAATGGAAGTAATTGCTGGGTTTCAATCAAGAGGACTGCGCCTCACTTTACACAGAAGATGAAGGGTAGCGGAGCTAAATGCTAAATTCTCAAGGACTATTCCTGTCAAAGTTATATTCATATATAAAAGAAGAAGGAGCTGGGTTTAGACATTCATAACTCATTTTTCTCTCATTTTGAATCTCTCAAGAGCTATTTCTCTCTCTAGTTCGTCGTTACTGTTCTTCAAGATCAGTCTCAGATCTTCGGCGCATCTTTCTGAGTTAGTGATTCTTGTAAAAGTTCTTTAGATTTAAGTAACAATTAGTTCTTTGTATATTTTCTGTT